CATGTGGGTAGTGCAAAAATACCACAGAGATGAGTGATATGGAATTATGGATATTTCTCATACTGACATGCCTCAGATCTACCTGCACAGACCCAGCAGGAAAAGGATGGGGTTTGATGGTTGTGTTGGTTAACATTGTTCCACATCCAGCAGAAGAACCTGTTGATTGCAATGTCACCATTCAGCTCTGCTGATTTAGAGGCAGAATTATGTTGTTGGGGGTCATCCAAGCCTCAGAACTACCCGTGCCATAAAATCTCTGAATGTGTATCTCAGAGCTCTTGTGTCTGTAGGCAGATTTGTCTTCACCTGCTGCAGGTCATGATTACCTTGATTTACTATTTCTGGGCTTTTCTAAAGTGAATTATTCTCAGTGTCTTGCATATGTTTTGTTCACTTCTATCCTATTGCTATCTCTAAGCATTACAATCTTTTTTTTCCTTCCCACCTTGGACAATTGAAAGCTGTCTCTTATTTTCACAGCTATTTTACCTGATCTGAATCCAAACCCAGTGAACTTACAATGCTAAAGAAAGATTTATATAACAAGAAATGTCTTTAAAAAAATAGAGATGAAGCCTCAGTTTTACTGACATCTGTAGGATTTGAAACTGGTTTAAGTTTCATGAGAAATTAACTCCCCAGCTTTTCCCTCTCCCCTACATGTGTACATGCATGTACATGCAGAAGCCTCACATATTCTGGGGAAAAACCCTCTGAATTATAGGTAATAGAAGGTATTAAAAAACCCCTTAAATTTTATGTAAGTATTTTCCTTTTCTCTTTCATTTTCGCTTGTCTTTCTTTTGCTCTTGCTCTTCTCACTCTTTACTGTCCTGATGATCCTCTTGGTCTCTCCACTTTGAAAGTAAACAGTGAGAAAAATAGGTTCCTCTCATTAAAGCTGTAGAAAATTTCAGGATCTTTTCTAGTACTGATATGCTGACTTTGCTCTCTTTTGTAGTAAACTTAAAAATGTTTCGTGCAGATCAACCTTTAGAGGAAAATAAAGAGACTCTCCTGCATCTGGACAGAAAGTCTCAGCACTTAGTAATGGAAATGCATTTTCCAGGGTTTTCTTGTTTGCTCCATGACTTCATGATGCATCTTTCCTCAGAAACTGGGGGTGGGGTAGCTCAAGTGGTGACTTTTAGGCCAGCTACAACCCACAGGACTATTTGTGTTCAAGGTGTGCAAGACCAGGTTGAGTGGGGCTTTGAGCAGCCTGGTCTGGTGGAAGGTGTCACTGCCCATGGCAGAGAGGTTGGAACAAGTTGATCTTTAAGGTCTTTTCCAACCTTTCCAGCTCAAAGAAGAGCTGAAAGACTCATTGGGCAGCCCTGCAACACATCACCTCTTCTTGAACACAGACTTATGTAATGCTTGGAAATCTGAGCTACCCCGACGTTTGGGATCCAGCCCTGGGAAGGCAAGACTTCCTTAAATCTACATTTATAACACAGGCTGAGCTGTAATAAGGGCTGGTGCTTCTGGGATTTCTGAATTTACACTTTTATTGGTGATATATATGTACCACTGTGCCCAGGAATAGTTTGGGTTAGTGCTAGTCAGACCAGGCATAAAAAACCCCAGAAATTCTGCAGATGAAGAGAAGCAAGGATGGCTGGTGCCTGTTCTCTGGCACTACTTTTATCTGCTAGTATCAATATATTTAAATTATTTGAAGTTATCAAATAATTGATAAGCCTACTGATAAGTGAAGTTATCAATGGAACTTCTCTGCAGTAAGATCCTCTAAAATGCATTGAAAAGGGAGAAATGTTAAATGAAATAAACATAAAACGACCCTGGCTCAGGTTGTGCACAATATTTTCTGCTATAAATTTAAGGGTCTGAATTGTCTGTTCATGATTGAATAATATGGGAAAATCATTCCTCATGGAGCATTAAGCTTTTTGAATTCAGGTCAGATGAACATCTCAAACAGCAGCTGCACAAATAGGGGTGTACCAGAGGTGTACAAGAACTCGGTTTTTTTGCATAAAGTTATGTAAAATCCAGCAGTTTTCAGGCCCACTGGAAGCTCCTTTGAAGATTTCCTGTTTTGTGCTTTGTGTGAACTTTGGTTTTGGAGTTTGATCAAACCCAACACTTCTGACCCCTTCATGGGGACTATCCTGTATTTCAGGTTGGACACATGTACAGATCTCAATGAGCTAAGATTCAGTGGAAAAACTTCAGAGAGAAGTGTGAACTTGAAGATTTAAAACAGAGGAAACGGGAAAAACTGCATCTATCTGACCTGTGCCAAGCTGTGAACCCTGGTCTTAATTATTAACACAGAACAAGTAACATCACGAGAAAGTGGAGTACACAACTCTACACTGAACGGCTGTAGGGGAATTTATTCCTAAAGAAAACCCCCTTTCACCCCAATGTAGTAGAGGCTGGATCCAATTCCACTGCAGATATCCAATGTTATAACTATTCAAAAAGTCTTTCAGCATTTAAGAACTTATTTAGTATATAAATATATAAATATATTTATATATTATTATATATATATATATAATATATATTATAAATATATATAAATATATATTATTTATATATAAATATATAAATAGACATTTGTGTGATTCCTATGATTTTCTATGGTCATAAAAAAATCTCTTCAGATTTCTGACATCATATCATAGAATCATGGAACAGTTTGGGTTGGAAGGGACATTAAAGACTCTCTAGTTCCCCCATGGCAGGGGATTAGAACAAGATAAGATTTGAGGTCTCTTCCAACCCAAACCATTTTATGATTCTATGATATTTAATCTCAAGAAGACAAGTAGGGGTTGAGATGATCTGGCTGTGAGGACTGATGGACTATGGGGATGAGAATAAAGATTTTTATGCCTACATTAGGTTTAGCTGTCCAAGGTGTGTCTAGTGTGTAGTGGTTGGCTAATCTCCCATTCTGGTGGAATGGGAATCTAGACCAGAATATTCAGCCAATGGAGTTTGGAGAGAAATTCTAGTTGCACTGATGTAGACATCTATGTTAGAGCTGTTTAATTCAGATTTCTTGAGCTATACAGGTGAGATTCCTGGACACTATGGCAGAAGATGTACAGCTGGCTGCTGTGGAGCTCCTAGAGGCATCTGAGAAGAGTTAGAAGTCCAGGTCAGAAGCTGATCTGACCCCAGCATCTCTACACTAGCTAGAAAAGGAATATGGTCACAGCTCCACCTCTGGGTCTGGCAGCACTCATCATTCCCTGAGCACAATCAGAGAGTTTTGTAGAGCTGACAGTTTTGTAGCTGAAGCCTTCATCATTTTATCCTGACTGCTATTTCTACTTTAAACACAGGAATCCTTGGAGATTAGCCACCTCACATCACATTTCCTCTGTGTGCATGTAATAGGGAATTATCTCTTTGTCCAGAAGCTTAGATAGCTCATTTAAATGCCTCTATGATCATTCTGCATAAATAAGAATGTTTCTCTTGATGTGCACATGTAGTTGGTTGTTTTGGAATGTGTATTATGGAAAATATACACACACTTGGGTGCTCTGTACAAGCACATGCACAGCACTGCTTGAGAGTAGGAGTGGGGTTGTCCAGATGTGTTCTTACACACATAGGATGCACACAGATGTGTGTAAGAATAAATAGAAACATCAGGAATGTGTGCATTCATGGATGGGGAATTATCCTTGCCTCTCCACACCCCAACAGATGTGTGGGAGAAGTGGGATGGTGGGTATTTTTGGGATTCCACTCAAAGTCTGAGAGACTAAACATTAATTATCACAGAACCTATCAGAAAGTTAATAACTAACAGATGTTGGGATATTGGGACATGGAAGTTGTCAGTCCAACCAATGAAAAAAGAGTGGCTCAGCTGGTTGTGCTAAAGAATATACAGGACAATTCTAAGCCTTTATAGGGCTATGAAACTTGCTTAATATTATGGTCTGTAAACAACTCTCTGGCACAGTTCACATGTTTTTTCATATATTAGATAGTGGATGGAAAACATTAACAATCTGTAGCCTCAGGAAGTCATGTATTCCCCTCTGTGGCAAGGACAGGAGCACCTCCAGGATGTTTCATCAAACTTATCTTTGATAGATATCTTAGATGACCCCACTATTTCAAAGTGGCCCTCTGGAAGATCCCACCTCACTCATGGCTGTATCTGACACATTGCCTAAAGCAAAAACATGAAATCGCATGCAGCAGCTCCTGAGCTAATAAATCTTTCTGACCCCAAAACATCTATGCACTTTTATACATAATTAGGATAAAATTCTAATGAAGTTTGCACTTGGTGTGCATGTACCAGGGGTCTTTGTCTTCAAAACAGCTCCTAAACCAGTTTAAACCAATACATTAAATATTGCTCAAGAATTGAGTCTAAATATATCATCAGTCTGGCTTTTTAGTGTGAGTCAACTTTCATTCTCCCAGATTTTTCTAGCGTGTTGTTTGGAAATTAGTGCAGTCAAATTGTTTTGGTAGGTAATGTACTTTGAGGCCAGCCTGCTTTGGAAGCCAAAGAGTTAATAAAATGTCCTGTTATGACACTGTCAAATTATGTCAGTAGCATAGAGGAGCTTCTGGAACTATTTATTTAATTGGAAAGGATGCAGCTTTTTCTTCCAATTATTTCTACTGTGATGAATTTACATTTGTTCAGAACTTGAGTTTTTATGCTTCTGGACCATCCACTTATGAGCTGTGATTTGGCTCACATTTAAAGCAAGACAACTTTCTGGATAGGTGGGGACATTTGACCAGCAGATGGAGAAAATATCTTATTCAAACTCAGACTGTGGTCCTAGAAGCAAGGTGAATGCAGCAAACTTGAGCTACATTGCTGGGCAAACCTGCACTTTTATTAGGCACATCTAGCAGGGATTAGGAATGTTAATTAATTTTTTGCATGTCTTTTAGGTAAGGGAACAAATACCACTAAAACTTCATATGCAGTCTAAATCAAATATATGAATTTTTACTTTCCCCTTTCAAAATCATACCTGAAATGTGTTAAATGTCTCTGGATGTCGAGGTCTAATATTGGAGTTGGTCTGGAGGATCCAAGGGGTGATCTGTCTTGACTTAGAAGGTCTTGGAATTCTTTACATATTTGTCTAAAAGGAAAATGGAAATCCTTCAATAAAACAGGTGTAATTCTTCCCATAAAGCTGATTCCCAAAACACTCCCACCTTATCCTGAGTGATCTCACTGATAACAGAATTGCTTGGCAGAAGTGTTGTTACAGAAATTAAAGACAAACAAATCCATCTCTGGCTTCCCTGCCCCAAATTCTCAGAGCCAACAACATACAGAATCTCCTGAACAGGAATATTTTCCCTGTGGAACCATATTAATGCTAACATTTTAAAATGTGATTTCCCCCCTGAATAGGACCCAGTTTGGCAGTGTTAAGTCTAGCTTAGCTTGCTTACATTGGCAGCAAGGCTTATGGTTAAAGGAAATGGTGAAGTAGCATTAGAATATGCCTGTAATGTGTAAAATACTTCATTATTTAGTTTGTGTAAATACATCAATACTTGTACATGGGCTTGTGTACATTGTGGGCACTGCTTTATCTGTAAGTTGAAGTCCTGGATATTTTGGACTTGCCTTCTTGACTCCCAACCCTTAAGACAAAGGGGTTGTGAAGGAAGGACCCCTTACAGTGAGAATTCAGGGTCTGTCTTCTCTGGTCTCCCACCAGCATAGTAGCCCATCTTTTGTAAAGGATGGATGGGTCTTACTCTTTCCCCTCTCCCACTCAGTCTTCCCTGATGCTTCTCAGGATGCCTCAGTACCTGGGGGTCAAATTTATTCCCTGGAATTCCTCTATATAGGACCTAGCAAGGAAAGACCTGAAAATAAGGCCTTTTGTGTTGTTGTATTATTGTTTGTAAATTAGCCTAGGAATATTCTACCAACAAACCTTTAAAACAAAAAACCAAATCAGGTCCATTTAGCTCATGTCCTCAGAAGAACATTACCTGGACCATGGATGAACAGACATCACTTACTTTCACTTGGTTTATGATTCAGTTACTTGGAAAAAAGAAAGGGGACCTGTCCAAATTAGCACAGAGTTCTCCATTGCCTGTATTGGAAATAAAGGTGCTGATGGGGGATCAGGGGGGCATTATCACCTCCAGATGATCAGGACCCTCAGCTGGGACCCTGATCTTTGTTGGATTAACCTGGTACTGGTCACAGTGACTACATATAGCCTGGTAAGAGTGCCACCCAGTGAAGTGTAGAGTGACAAGGGTTACCCTCACACCTGCAGACCATTTGTCACCATCTGATAACATCCATAGAATTATGCTTCTCTGGTCTCCTAAATCCTGTGTCTTCCTGAGAATAGACCCTGTTGTGGGCTGTCTCCCAGGGCTTGCCCAAAAGATAGTTGGCAGAATTCAATGAGCCATTCTGACATTTTAGTAACATGGACAAGTGCAATCTGATGACTCAGAGTGCCCCGTGGTTTACTTTGTTAGCACAGATGCAACCATTGTGCCTAGGGGAAGTTTCTAATACTAAAGAGCATCTCTGTGGTCCATGATTCCTTTCAGGAGATTCATTGCACACCTGGTCCTAGATAAAATTTGGGTTCTTCATTATCACCTTGTAACTGCTGTCTTTGGGACATGAGTATAATGGAAAAATTGGGTAAACTCTTTTTTTGGTCTTTAGAAGGTCCTTCAGTGCTGAGTTATAAGCAAGAAAACTGTGCTAAGACGGTTTTACCCTTCACTTTATCACAGTGACACAAGCTGGGAACAGAGATCTTGGATAGCTCTCTCTTGACTAAGAGGAGATGCAGAAACCTATTTCCTGCTGTGCTGCTGGACCCCATCCAGGCCTGATTTCTCTAAATTCTTGTCATCTGCATGGACCTAGACACCGACTGCTTGAAAAGACAGCATCACCCCAGCCTTCCAGGCAAAGAGAGGTATTCAGCAGAAATGTATGTAAATGCAGCATACAGTTTTAATGAATCAGGTCCTTAGAGGAAAAACAGTTCCTTTCAACAACTGAAAACAGTCAGTCATTTTGGCTTCTAAACAATCCAGTATCCCCAGTCGGCCCTGTCAGCACTGCTCTTCTCTCCTTCCTCCAACCTCTACTTTCTACCTGTTGAAAAAGTTCATCTCAAAAATTCTTTCATTTTAACAAAGGAAAGTGTCAGAACCAAGTGTGCAATTAAGTTCCCTTCTATCTTCACGTGTCAAAAGTCTATACTGAATGTTGGCAGATTGAAAGAAAAGAAAAAAACTTTTTTATTATACATGAAAACCTGAAAAAGGCAGTAACCTACTTTTATTTCCAGGGGATTTCTGGGCAAAGTGGTGTCTCAGAGCCTCCACTACCAGTAAAATATCACCTAGGGTAGTGACAGGGAGAGGGGTTGGCAGATTTTTGCTGAGCTGGACTGTGATTTTGAAAAAAACAAAGGAAGATGGCTGTGCTGTCCTAGGTGGGCACAGATTAATAAAAATAGTCCTGGTCACTCCTGCATGGGAGACATCTCACGATTTGTGATACATGATCAAATGATCTAGTATATGACCAGAAGAAGGGAAAAAATTCTGTACTGGGTCAAAAAAAGAGCCCATGCAGCCATGATCCCTACCAGTGGCCAAAGCAAATGCCTGGTGTTGAGTACAAGAGTGGGGCAAACCTGGTCCCATTAATCTGATTTATTCAGAGTGTGGCAGAGTTGCCAGGTATCCAAGGACCAGATGCCAGAGAAATGTCATGAGAAGTCTGTGCTGGCTGTAATCAACTCCTTAATAAAGTTATTATTCACAGTATTCAGGTTTGGGTAAATGTGGATATATCTGTCCCTCTGATCTTATGAAGACCTTGTGCTGTGAAACACTGGGATGTTTCCTGTAGGATGCTATGCCTCTCCAGCAACTGGAATAGTTGACACAGCCTTCAGCAGGGCTGCATCTGTCCAGGCTGCAAACTGGTCAGGTTCTGTCCCCTGCTGTAAAACCTTTCAGGCTCTCCCATGCCTCTGCAAGGTGAATTAATGTGTTTGAATACTCTGTAAAACCAGGTCCCACTATTTTTAAAAAATATTTCTACGTGAATTGAATACGTATCCTGAAACGTTTTTACATTACTGGGATTAACAGACCAATATCAGTACCCTTTGGCCAGAATTGTGACAATTAATTCTTTTTTTTGGAGCATCTTGTTCTGTCCAAAAAAACATCTACTTGGCCAGAATATCATCTGCTCAGTCAAAGGAGGTGAGTGGAAAGAAAGAGAATAGTAGGAGACTGGTTTCTCTCATTGTTTTCAGCTCTTTTCCAGCCTGTTTCACTCCCATCCTGCCATTGCTGACACTTGTGCTCAGCAGTGAACAGTGGCTACACAGCCCAATCATCTCTTCTTCCCATGACAATTATTAAGTAAAGCTCTCATTCTTCATTGTCTAGTCCATAAATCTGTTAGAACAGACCATGGCATCATCCTGTTGCATCAATTTGTACTTCCCCAGGCAGGTCCTGAGTTTGCAAATGTGAGAGACCATTTCCATGAGGTAGCTTTGGAAGATGAGGCAGTTAAACAAAATGAACATGATTTGTTCCATGATGGACAATGGCCCTGTTTTCATTCTCTGTATTTCTATCAGCATAGCCTCAGACCAGGTAGGGCTGAGCAGGGCAATGAAAAGAGTCACTTAAGCTCAGTTGTGTGAGCTTGTGTTGGCTGTTGGCATCGAAAGCAAAAATTTTTAGCCTTCACTGCCCCGTGGGCCACAGTTCTGTGCATGGCAGCTGGACTGCTTCCACTGAGGGTGGGTGGATTTCTTGATTATAAGGTGTGGATGCCCTTGATGGCAAGGACACCTGGGAGCTCCTACTGGACACTGGAGGCTTCATCACTGTAGACATTTAGGGCTCTGTTTAGTTACTCCCATGCAGACTTGCAATACCCAAGACATCCATAACCACTGGCAGATACAACACAGTAACAAAAAGAGATCTGTGTGGCCCTGGAGCAGCAGCTCATGGCCAAACTGGATAACCCAGTTCAACTCAAATGGCAATAAGTGCCTGTGTTTGGGCAGCTGAATTGAGCCAATGAATTTGGATGTTTAAATCCATAATGGAAATACACCTAGATAGGAAAAAAGGTGGAAATAATTTTACCCTTTCCACTTATTTTTCCTCATCATCTATATTCTAAGAAATTGTGGCAATAACGTTGTTCTTTCCCCTTCTTTTTCTTCAAGACCCCACACATGAACACTTCTGTGGGCTTCTGGCTCTGTCCCACAGTGGACAGCAGCAGCACACACAGGCAGTGGCACTCCAGCTCTTTCCATGGACCAAGCTTGCCACGAGGGACCTTACCACCCGGGAATTTCTGTGTTGGTTTTGGTGGCAGCATAATAATCCCCCTCTTTTTCTGGTGTCATCATTCACAAGCCCATGAGTCAGGGAAGTCGTGGAATTGCTGAAATTGCCAACTCAGAGCTGGTGAGTAGTTGAAGCTCCTGATGATTGTCTAGAGTTCTTTGTATCAGCCAGGTGGAAGCATGGCTGGGAAATGCCATGCTGATATTGTGATGTCATGGACCTGTGTCTCCTGGAACACCTGGGCAGGACTGGGAATCCCTGTTCTCCTGGCAGGCAGGAGAGGGCAGTAGCAACACACACACTGACCCATCTGTCCCTGTTACCAGCACTGACTGCAGCAGGATGTGGCCTTTCTATTACTGACAGACCTCTCTGAGCAATTTCCTGGTGCTTTTAGCTGATAGAACAGGGGGGAAAAGTAATTTTGTTCCTAACAAGTGCTCTATAACAGCCTACAAGCCTGAAATTCGTGGTGGTTAGAGGTAGTGCATGCCCATGATACCTCATCTCAGTAGTGAGGGAGGTTGAGAAAGTAGGTATGGAGTTGTGAGAAAGGGTAGTGAGACTCTCTTGTGCCCCTGAGTGGCACAGCCTTTAGGGACAGGACATAAAAGTGAGCCACCAATTATTACAACCCATGGCTTTGTGATTTTTCACTAGAGCCAGGGAAAAATGGGGAAGATTTGCATCATTTTGGTTGAATTATGTTCTGTAAATGGGACACATCCTCAGCTAGGAGGCAGAATGTTAATGGACTACAGAGCAGAGGGGAGACACAACTTGTAGAGAGGAGTTTCTTCTGGCCAACTGGTTTATTCTCATGCCTCTGAAACCCCTTGAGCCCTTAAATGTGGATAGAGGTAAGAATAAGATAATATTTCACTTATATTATTCCTTTTAATGTACAGAGGAATTAGGAATGTGATATATGAGGTCTCTCATTACCTTCACAACCAGAAAATTCCTGCTGATCCACATGGTGATGCTTTTATCACCCCAGGGAACGATCCCAGGCTGGGATTCTTGGGATTCACAAGCATGAGATGTTTGAGTGCATCTCATTTCTGGGTCACTGTCAGGGCAAAGTACTCTGAATACAAGAGGGACACCAAGGCCAGGAATCTTGTCAAAGCAGAAGGACATTGGGATACAAAGGACAATTCTGTGGCTGGTCAGCCCTTTCCCCTAGTACAGGGAAATTCCTCCCTGTTGGATATATCACAGCCTGAAAAGATTTTCAAACACTTCCAGCATGGAGGGGGTGATTTGAGAGCTTGGATTTGTAGTCTCAGCTCTACTTCAGCCTCAAATATGACGCTGCAGTGAGCACAGCAAGACTGTGAATGTGTTCAAGGTTACCCCACACAGTCAGACCACACACCTAGGGCAGGTCTACCCTACTCCACACAGACTATTTATTCCTGTTTCCCATGGCTCATGAAGGCTAATTCCTCCCTCATCAAGGCTAATTAACCTAGTTGAAATGTTATCCTAACATGATGTTACTGCTCCAGGGAGACGAGTGGCTTGTTTAGAGTGAAGTCTGATGCCTCTTTGTGTCTTTAATGTCTTTAGCAAAGCTCCCCTGCTGTTGTACATTGTTCCAGTGCCTTTGACTTCAGGGAACTCTTGCAGTTTGCATCCAGAGAGGATCTGTCCTTCTGCAAACCAGCTCTCCCCCAGTAGACTAAAGATAATTATCCCACAGTAACCAGTACTTCAGTAAACGCTCAGATCTCCTGCTCACACACAAACAGGAGACAGTTTCAGTCCCATAGATCTTACCATGTAACAATACCCTCTGTTCTCATCTAAACCAAAGCATCTGGGAAGATGTACGTGCCCCCTCAACCACAGGCAATGAGAGCACAGCCACTAAAACCCCACTGCAGTAAATGAGGTCCCTCTTTCAGCATCCCCGAGGAGGATGGCTCTCACCGGCAGTCAGTGAGCACTGTTGTGATAGCAGTCACCACAATCCCAGCTCCATACTCCCACTCCTCCCTCCCCCAGCCCACAGATCCAACATGGAGAAGTGACAGACCGATTTCTTTTTTCGCTTCCCCTCCTTCCTTACTTTGTCGCTAGGATCATCTTTTTCCTCGCTGTCTGCTCTTTCTGTTCCATGTGCTGTCTGGCAATGTGCTCTCCTACTGCCTTGGCAGGGAACTCTGTTTCACAGGTGTAGCCGAAATCTCTGGCCAAATGTAGTGCTTCCCCTGCGGTCAGACAAAATGGGTTAGTCATTTTTATAGGTTTGTTATCATCATCATCATCATCATCATCATCATCATCATCATCATCATCATCATCATCATCATCATCATCATCTTGTTGTTATTATTGTTACAGAATTTATTGCACTCTTTAAAATAAACCCCAAACAGTAGCAAGTCACTTCTGTAGACTGTAATTCTCAGTCAGTCACACATTTCAGCCCAATTGGCCTGTTGGTGTTTAGTGATCAGTTGGTGCCAGGCAGAAGACAGGAGGGATATTCCTCTCAGCAGATGGAAGGATGTCCCTCTCATGAGAAATACTGGCCAAGGCACTTGGCCCTGCCTTGACACTGGTGAGTATTGGGCAGCTGCCCAATTTTGCAAGCCCTGTTCATCATCGATATTCCAGGTATGGAAAAGAGCAGAAAGTAGGAAAGAACAACTTTGAAGAACTGAGTCAGCCTTTTGTGCTTCACTCCCTGTGTCTAATGGAAGAAGAGCCCACTACCCCAGGGAAGACCCATGGGGATAACACACATTCCAGTATATTTGCTTAGAGGTTAAGCCAACAGTACAAGTGCCTCACACCAGGGAAAAGCAGACCCCAAGGGAGAACTCAATAAATAATCCTGTTTCCAAAAGGATTGCTAACAAAATTGGCCAGGCAAAACAAAAAGGGAAGATGGTGAAGAAGATAGTTGCACTGAGCATCTTTCTACCTCACTGCAAAGACTGAACACAAGAATCCAACTCCATGCTGGCTGCCAAATGCCTCTGGAAGGACAGGACCCTCTTCACCGGCTTAGAGAACCCAGAATTCAATTTTAGGGTTTACTGAACACTCTGACCTGCACGCTGTGATTCTGACAACCCCGATGTGGGATTTATCTGATCAAAAGCAGCTGCCTGGATTGTGAACATCTGTGCCTAGGATAGTGTTTCCCTGGTGGGAAATAGGCATTTCCAGATGACACTTGTTCTCATCTCATTGCAGAAAGAAGAAATAGGTCAGCTACCAGAAGCGTATGTTGAAGTACATCTGCATGAGTGACTAACACACATGTGCTCCAGAATAGTTTTGGAGTTCAGGGGTTGTGGCTTTTTACTTTACTTTTCCTTCTTTTTCAGAGTTGTGTGTTTGATTGCCATCAGGAAAGTGGCATTGGACTCTGGCTCTTTGAAGTTCAAAAGGCTGATGCTGTCAGGAGGGAAGCAGGACATATAACTCCTCCCTTTGAGAGTGTCTGCAGTGGAATTCATCAGATTAAATGTCAATATTGATGTCTGACTTAATACTTTCAAGTCAATGGAGACAAACTAGCACTTGAAGCATGTATCATCCTATACTAGAGGAGAAGGCAGAAGGGAATCAAAGGAATTATGGAGCTAGATTAAGTCTAGATGGAGTGTAGATTGGGTCTAGATTAAGTCTAGATTCGAACTCAGAAAATTCTGCTGACAGCATTGCCTTAGATGAGATTATTCAAGGCTTTCCCAAGCGTAGTCTTGAATTTTTCCAACTATGGAAATTCCACAGCTGCTCTGAGCAACATAATAAAATGTTTAATTATTAATTTAACTTCATTTAATCATTAAATCAAATCATTAAACACCCAGAAGTGCTGACTTTTCCCTGTTTACTGTGATCTGACATGAGAAGGTGCAAATGCAATGAAGGTGGGGAGATGAATCCCATCCTCAGCAAGGCTTGGTTAAGCCAAGGAAGAGGAGAAGTTCCATGGAAACAGTGCTCCTGTGCCAGGGACAGTATGAGGAATAAGAAACTGCACTGACCTCTATTCCAACTTCATTCTCCCCTTTTGAGATATTACTGTCTCCCCTTCTACCACTGGAGTTTTTGTGGAAAAAGACCTTTTGATTCGACAAGAAAATGCTTTACTGTGTGTTTATCTGCCCCACTTTATTCAGGTGCTGACAAAATCCATGCACCACTCCCAGGCAATCTGTTTTCTGATACCAGCCAGCTACAACCTCTGCAGCTGTAACCGATTTTACAGCAAAAATTGAAGATTATAGTCAAAATCATCTGCTTGCTTTGGATTTTTTAAAAACATGATTTCCAATATTGCTAAAAAGAATGAAGATGTTAACAAGCAATCAGCATCTCTGAGCTGAAAGAAGAAACAGTTTCCACTTAGTTTGCAGCTTCTAGACAAATAAAATAATTTTTAGTGATAACAAAATGGATTTCAGTGATAAATTAACAGAGAATCAGAATGGACAGGCATAGAGCTGACTGATTGCTTTGTATTTTGAAACATCTATCCCAGAGTTCTTCATGGGTGAGAAAGGGTACAATTTTAAGCCATAGCTTTTACATTTCTGTAGTTTCAAAATGTCTATTTCAGATATGCTTTTAATCTTCCTTAAATAAAGACTTACAGAATATAAATAAATTTCAGAAGAGCACCAGGTTTTTCTTTTCTACGAAATTCTTTTAAAATACTGGATAGGTTTATCTTCATTCCAGCATGGAAAGAAAATAAAAGTCAAACCCTTTGAAGCTGTCATCAGGTGGAATTGCAATTCTCCAGACAGCTTCACCATGGTCCCAGTCAGTCCCAGTAAAAATACAAGGAATGGAGACAGCAAAGAATTTAAACATTTAGCCGTTGGAAAAGTCTTGGTTTCTTCAAGAGAGCAGAATTTTTTTGTGTTGAAATGTAGGCATTCATTTAACGTGATCAACTACTAAGTGACTGAAATGTGAATGTTTCCACTTACTGCTAGAAAAAAAAAGGGAATGAAAATGTGAATTGTCATTCAAATTTATATCTACAAAGATGGTTTATCTTATTTGCTACAGCTGAGAAAATATACTAAACTGTTCTGATGATCTGAGAAAATTATTCAAAAGTATAAAACCCGTCTGGAGCTGGCATTGTGATTGTGATATAAAATCATTTGAGCAAAAAGAAACAAAATTACTTATCTCTTCACGGATATAGATTGGTAAAAATATAGATACAAATGTAATTACTGTTTTTAATGAAATAACAATTAAAATACTTTAAATTTAAATTGAAAATATTTTTTGCTGGAAATGGAAAGCTCATGTATGCTTCAAATGCATGTTAGAGCTATGCATATTTATTCATATAAGCATGCATATCCTATAAGGAGAAGGCATCCTGAATTATAACTACACATTTTAAGTTAAAATAAAAATTTGGACTTGAGAACACTCTGCAGAGCATAATTTCTCCTATCTCACTGTTGAGCAAAGATGCAATTTTAAACCAGGACCAAATGATGACTTAATATTTACAAGTGTACTATGATATGTTTTGGGTTTTGTTTTTTTTGTGAATAGGTGTCCCTTTGATTACTGTTCAGTAGGATTAAGTCTGCTTGGTGGGGGAAAGTCGTTTACAGAAAATGTCACAGAATATGTTATTTCTTTTTTCTACAGCATAATTTGGATAAACATTTACTTTGGGAGAAAATGTGTAAATATCAGAAATGTGAACGAACCGACTTTTTTTCCTTTTATCTAAGATTTCCCATCTTCTGCTTAATTGTTATTTACATCAGAGTAGGAATCAAGATGAAGGTAGAAACCACTAAAATCCCTGACTTGTATGGATTGTTGTCTTCTTTCTATCTAAATCCAACCTAAAATCCAATTTCCCCCTGTGTGATACCCCCATCTCTTTCCTCCTGCCGAGGTAAAGAGCAGATGTTGGGAATCTCGGGTTTTCCTCAAACCCAGAGCACGGCTCTGCAGCTCCCGGCAGCGCTGCCTCTCCTCTGCAACCTGACAACTGACCGGAGAGCTGGGCACGATGGAAAAGGACAGCTGCTGGAGCAGAGCTGGCAGAGACTGCTCGGTGGGGAGAGCAGCCTGTACCTCGAAAGGTTTCTGTGGGCAGGTGCAAGGAGCAGTGTGGGGGTCCCTGGGGGCCAGCAAGAGTGAGAGCTGCTCCTATGCGGAGTGAAGGCAGGAGCTGTGTCCCCAGCAGAGGGATGCTCAGCATCTCAACCTCCCACTCTGCCCTCGGCTGTGCCTCCTCCGGATGCTCTACCCAGCAGAAATGGTACCCGGGGGGGAGGAGGGACGGGCGGGAGGTGGAAGGAAAGTTTGTGCTATTTGTGGGGTGAGAAGGGAGGAGGAACAAGTGGAAGGATATTTAAACAAAGGCTGGTGGGGGAGAAGTGTGATAGTTGAGAGCACGATGAAAAAAGAAACCGCTGACCTATTTTTCTCAAGAGTTTTGGTCCCCAAATGATGAATGTCATTAATTCTATGTCTAGGAAATTTAGTGTCTAAATCGGGTTTGACAGGAAAACAAACTCTATAGAATTTTTTGTTAGTTTTTATTTATTTTTTTTATCTGATGGTTTAAAAATCATTCATGCTTTTACCTGCATCTGCAATCACATTAATGTTTTGTAAATGACCCATTCAAACAGAAGGGGACATCTCCCCTCTTTTCACATCCTTCCTTGCTCCCACTGGAGAAGCTCTTGACTCTTTGGAGCCCACAGTAAAGCTTAGCCTTGGAAATACCAGTATTTATTCAAGGAGCCTTTATTTTACAGCTAATATGTAGGAATTTTCCTTTTGGAGCTCGTAAGAAAAATGACCTTTCCCTCCATCTAGTCCTGGCACTAGAGGGCATCCCTCGCCTGCAGGTTACACAGAGATGTGTCCCCAAACTGCTCAGGAGAGCCCTGCAACACTGACTTCATTCTCCCTGTCTGCCTCTCCACTCGTTGTGCTGATTTATGTGGAAGACAAAGAGAACAGAACCGATCTGTCAAACAATTCCATCCAAAGACTCTAAAGATGCCACCTGATCAAGCCAACAGTAAACATCCTGCAGCAAAGCAGAACTCCAGAAGAAGAAACTTTTTAGGAAACAGGAGGCCATAGAATAATTTTCATAAAATCTGGCCCTTCATATGACAGCCACAGCCCAGAAATAAATTGCAGGTTGTCCTTGAGATTAACAGGCTCCCCAAAACTTAATGATTTCAGTATGTTTTAGAGGAAAAGAAGTATTAGTCATGCCACAGATTTTTGATTTGGTTTTGGTCAATAACCACAATAATCATGCTACTAATTTTGCCTTATCTTCCATCACATAGATATTCAAGAAGTTGGGCATGCTTTTACTTAAAGAGATATTGAAACCTCAATATATTGAAGACTGTGAGGACCTTTAGTGATAACAAATTTAGAACCATCTAAAGAAGTCAAGGGTGACATAATCCTGGGTTGTTAGGAGAGGTACACAGAGTGTACCTGATATTTTAGAGATTTAATAAAACCAACAAATTTTTATTATTTCAATTTCTGTATTTTTTTCACACAGAAAAAGCTCATGTTGCTTTCTGTCTGGATTCTCTAAACCCCAGAATTAGCCTGTGTCCTGCCTCCTCCACCACAGGAGCCATTGAAGGATGGTTTTCCTTGAAGAAATTTTACTGTAAGTTAGTTCAACCTGGAAGGGATATCTGAATGTCCAAAGTGAGAGCAGCTTATACCACCAAGAATTCAGTGAGCACTGCCAAGTTTGACCCAGAATTGGTTACACAGACAGGAAATGACCTTCACTTAGTTTTCTGTTGGAATGTTAACATGGTGGTGCCATTCTCAAAAATTCCATTGGATAATATCCATTATTATCATACCTAGGCAAAAAGGTCTCTGCCAAAGACAGCTCAGGCACATCAGTGTTTGTCTTTAGGACTCACACCACGAACAGAAGCAACACCATAGGCTTGATACCAGGTTTGCTCCAGGCTTTGAATAAAGGGCAGGGAGGTGGGAACAGCTCCATTCCTGGGAGCAGGAATCTAACCCTGACTTACAGTAAAGGTACTCAGCCACCAACCTCAGGGCTGCAGTTGTCAGACAGGTACCTCCCTCTCAGTCCCTTCTGATGAATGAATAACTGGCCACATAGAATCCCAGAATCATGGAATGGTCTGGGTTGGAAGAAACCTTGAAGATCATCCACCTCCACACCCTGCCATGGGCAGGGACACCTTCCACTGTCCCAGGTTTCTCCAAGCCCCATCCACCCTGTCCTTGGACACTTCCAGGGATCCAGGGGCAGCCACAGATTCTCTGGGCACCCTGTGCCAGGGTCTCAGCACCCTCACAGGGAAGAATCTCTTCATAATTTCAGCTTTCAGCTTAAAGCCATTGCTCTGTTTACTAATAAAACCCAGCTGTGTTTATTCTTCCCTGACCCGAGATTCCTGAAGGTGGGAACAATCCTTGCTCCTCTAACTTGGTCCCTTTTCCAAGACTGTAACTCCATGAAAGCTTTCTTGTGCAGGCAGGTGTGATATGGACACACCTGTATTTCAGAGCAGCCCCACTCAGTGAGCCCTGAAAATCTCAGTCCCTTGTCACAGATGCTGAAAACCTCCAGTGTTGAGGATTCAATGCTACTTCTGCCTTGAAGAGTCTCCATTCTTTGAGATAATAAAAACCTCACAAAGTCCTGTGGAAGCTCTTCTAATTGCTTTGAGCAGAAAGATTGGCCTGAGGTGTCTTCCAGCCTCAATCCTTCTGTAATTCTGTGGTAATATGTGCTGGGACCTCAGCCTACTTGCCTGGATCTGTATGGACCTTTCAGGCTATGATTGTAGAAGGTATTGACCTTTAGGATGAGCTGAGTTCTCTCAGCATCAAGGAGGAAGGATCTGAAATTCCCAGAGCTGCTACTCGCAGCCAGACAACAAACTGGGTACTTAGTGGATTCACCCAGAACAGAAGAGATGCAGGTAGAGTTTCTTCCCTTTGCCTGAGGGGTTTGAACCTGCATCTCCCAACTGAAGGTTTGAAGAGCCTGGCAGTATTTGGAGAATGATATTTAAACAACAAATAAAGGCCAAGAAAGTATCTCCTGAGCCTGTCTAGATATTATCTGAAAACAGATTTCATTCATTTATGTGTGTGGGGAAAAAGCTTGTCTAAATATTATGCTTTCTTATGGGAGAAAAAAAATATCATCACATTTTTGGACCAGCTCCAGGAAATTCACAAGTTAAAAAAAAAAAAAAAAGTAGGATAAACAAACCTACTTATAGAGTTGGTATAAAACATTCATCTCTCTCACAAGAACACTCAGATGATCGATTGTAAGCATAAATCAATGCTGAGGAAACTGCAGGACCAAGACACTTGCTGGGAGCCAAGACATCTCAGAATAAACTTCCACTTTGCCACTCGCTCTGTCTGTGTGACTTTAGGCAAGTCAGGTCTCTTTATACAAAATACAGAGTATGGAATTTAACCCTATAGCTGGAAAGGGTTGCATGCTGTGAAACATTTAAATTATGGTTCTATTGCAATATCAGAGACTCTACCTTCTACCAGGGAAGTCAGGAGTGTGACATTTGCTGCTTTTCTTCTTCCTGCAGGCAAATTCAGTCCAAGTCTGTCTAATTTTTCTCGCAAGCACCGTCCTCCGTTCTTGGATTTTGCTCTGTCATGAGAGAACAGCAGGAAAGAGAAACTTGTCATTATTCTGCACCATTCCCTCGTGTTAATACAGGCCTAGAAATTGTACATACTTCTTTGACAAATATGTGGGGTAATGCCTGCAGTAGTGACATCAATGGGAAATATTTCAGAGCTGTATTCTAAATGTCCTGCTTGCTCTAGGTGGTTCTTTAACATTGGTTCCTTGGCAGAGGCAGAGATTTAAATGCCTGTCATGGGGGCATCAGATCTTCAGGCAGCTTTCCACCTAGTGGAGCCCAGTGTCCTGATTTGGGCATGGCACCTGGGATTACAGTGACTAAATATAAATATTGACAGTGGAAACACTTATATCTGATTTTTATCAGGCTCTAAAGACAAATTAGAGGGAAACATGACCTTCTAGAATTAGATTAAACAGATATCCACAATGAGTGAACTTTACTCATCTGGCTTGTCTGGCTAATAAAGGAAGCCAGATAGCTACTTAAATGTAGATGTCTATGTGGAACCCAGCTCTAACTGTCCCTCTATAATTTATGTGGACACCTGGGTACTCAGAAATGTTGTCTACAAAGCCCAAAACTCACAAGTAAGAAGGCCAAGGCAATAGGAAATGCTGAAGTTAAAATCTCAGCCATCATTGGTTATCTGTGCCCCTGTGACAAACACCTACATCCCTTTGTGATCACAGAATGGGTCCTGGTGTGTCCCAGCTGCTTTTCTGCAGCACCTCAGTGTTTGAAGCATTTGAGACAAATCCACTTATGCAGCAGATGTAGGTTCAAATTCTCCCTCAGCCTGAGGGAATTTTAACCTGTATCTTTCAAACAGATGCAGCAGCCAGCTGACAGTAAATAACTTATATTAAAATGGTGAAACAATTAATAAAACAGTGATCGGAACCCTGATATCTCCCATCTCAAATGAATGACCTGTCCATTAATTAGATAAGAGTCTACACCTTTGCTTTTTGTACAAGTAATACATAATTAACCCCAAACGAGATTGAGGGGCCCTCAGCTTAGAAAAAGATAATCACTGAGTAGTAAAAATAATTAACTAAATATTTTGTGGTTCATATTCGAGTTCCTTTAGGCAGAGGAAAGAACCAAACATGGAACATCACCATTTGGATGTCTGTTTTTATGCATTAAAAAATACCACAATTTTGGCCACATTGTTTGTCAGGAAATATCTTCTGAAAAGAAATTTTTCTTTATTCAGAAGAACAATTTTTTTCCCAAAGCAAGCTATTTGGGAAAATAGGTAACCAGTGACTGCTGACAGGATGCAAAAACAAGCCTTCAAGGTCTCGGGCAAACAATCACTGAGATTTTGTTTTCCTACATCTTTCCTGGTCAAATAAAGAATGTTTGTGCCTATTCTCTAGCTGTGAAACCCTCAGTTATAAACTGACCAAATCTTGAAATCAAATTGCTCTCACCGATTCCTAAAACAGAATTAGCATGTGCAAACTGCAAACAGGGAGGAGTCCCTGGCTTTTGCAAACTTCTGAACCATGCCCAGAGTTAATTTGGGAGAGGAGATATTTAGTCGGGGTCAAAAACCTGTGGGGATCATTCAAGCATTTTAACAGAGAAGTGAGCCCCCACATTCAAGTCGATGCCCTTGAATCCATAATAGCTTGCACTGTATTGATGAAATCTGCAGCATGAGTATTTAAAATGAAAATTAGCTGAAGGTTTCTCCAGGATGAAGCAAATAGAGGAGAAAATTTTGGTGGATGATGATTTTGGATTTTGATGCCCACAGAGGCAGTTAAATGGAACTTATACCTTGACAACAACTTATGGTGTAGAGTCATTATTCTCCAAGATGTCTCGAGTCAGCTCTGGAGTGCCTGCGTGTCTCAGGCTGGTTAAAATGACTTTCAGTATCAGCACGAGGATCAGTGTGGCCGTCAGTGCCAGCAGTGAAATCGCCCATGACTTTCCAGCTAGTTTTGATCAAAGGGTGTTCAAGCAGCTGGTGCCATCTGAGCTGACGCCTCGGGGACACCGTGACTTAGATGTGCCTGCCTGAATTACAGCTCCCTCCTAGTTTTCCTCTTGCAACGTGAGGCACAGTCTGCTCCTATCCTTCTTTCTGCTCCTGCTCTCTGCAGGTGTCTGCTCTGGTCAGTGAAGGGTCAGAGGCAAAACTTTACCTAAATATTCACTTCTCCCCTGGTATCTCACAACAAGAAAAGTAAAAACAGCTTATTCCATCTTTTTTGTGCTCAGAAAAGCATGCAGAGAAAGGAAGAAAAAGGCATCCCTACACCTCGGTGTTTTATTCTTTTGTTGAGTGAGGGCTGTAACTATTGTAAAACAATTCTCTTTCAGATAGTTTCTCAGCAAGAATTTAGATTTGTGTCTCTGTTGTGGGAAATAGAAAAGGTATAAAACTCAGAAAACTGTGTGAAAGCAAATCTCAGGATGGAGAAATGTAAGAATGCTGGAGATTCAAGGACAAGAAACAATAAGGCTATGAGCCGTGTAGAGATAGGCCCTAGGAAAATATGCTAAGCAAGATAGTAGAAATATGTAAACTTAATAATGAAGTTTTATCCATTATTTTAACCTATTACAAGCCAGCATTTTCCACACATTGAATTTCCTTTTGTTTTTGCTCAAAACAAGTCCAAGCAACATCTCTCCGTGTCTGATGAGTAATTGAACAGAGGAGGCAAATAAAAAATCAGTTTGATGAAAAATGTAGACCTGCTAATTTACTGGAAATTCCCCAGTGTTCCCTCCCGATCCATCCTTTTCTGTTCACCCCAAGTATGACCACCTATCCAAGCAGGGGGAAAGAATAAAGCATATCTGTTGAAAATAAAAATAAATAAATAAATAAATAAATTTACAGCATTGTCTAGGAGCTGTTATCCTCACCTTTAACTTACCTTCTCAAAATCCCTCCGAGGAGGGAAGCATTGAGGCACTCTGGTGGTGAAAGGCGCCTCTTCACCTCTGCAATGGTCACTTTGTACTTGGAAGTGGAGCTGAGCAGAGACAAGCGACCAGGAACGGAGCAGAACAGGTCCGTGGGGTTCACAACACAGGTGCCACCTACAAAAAAAAAAAGGAAATATTAAAGTGATGGAAACCTGCTCTTCTCTGTTTTGACAAACTCAACCATGAAGAGTTCTGTGGTTCTCTTGTGGTTGGTTTTGTTTGGGTTTGGTTTTTCTAAGGGTGTGTGTGGTTTGGCTTTCTATAATATTATTGTTTTGAGAAAAATGAATGTGTTGGGATTTCAGTGTGGGAACAGTGAATTATTAGATCTCAAAAGCTTTACAGCCAAAATACCTTGTTATGGTTATTTGATATAATTTGATTTCATGCTCTGAAAAAAATACTAATTATCACTAAGGTCTCTCCAATCTAGTATTATTTAAAAAAAAGAAGATTGAACCCTCACAATTAAAAAGAAACACAGTTTGTGAAAATATTGAGGCATTGGTTCTAATGTGAAATGTTAAATTTAACTCTCACAGCTGTATTTAGGATTACAAAGATGCAAGAACACTATGGGTTTGCAGTGATTTCTAGCAAGAACAGCTTTACACACCTTTGAACTCATAAATTCCTTCCAAAGTTAGGTCAAATCCTCAGCCAATATTAACGATTGAAATCTATTGAGTTACATCAGTTTATCTCAGGTTAGCTCTGCAATTGTTTATTTCTTGAGAGTGGCAATTACTTGGCCTGGATCTAAAACTGCTGAATGATCACCAAATCTTTCAGTCAAGACTGTGATCAATAACTCCTCAGGCAAAACTGAGCTTTTAACTTAAAGTTAATATGAGAGAAAAAGAGAGAAAACTTTCTCTGCAACCGATCCAAGAGAGTAGAACAAACTCCCAGGAAAAAAAAGAAATAATCTTAAGGACTTACACATATTATCACCAAGCACAAAACACTTTTCTTTGACCTGCCTTCTCCAACCTGACTACAACAAAAAAAAAATCTGTGTAAGAAATGAATCTTAGTACTGCATGCACAATTATTCCCTGGGGGAAAGATGAGAAAAAAAAGAATGAGCTGCATATGACAGTGATTCAAAATATCATAAAATTCAGTGCACTACTAGAAGGAGTTCAGATGGTTTATGTGAGGATGATGACATGAAGACCTTCTTAGAGCAGAATTAATCTGTGCTCATCACTCATGCTTAAAGGAAATATACTGTATCTTTTAAGATACCTTGATAGTTTGTTTTTTCCTGTGAACACCTTAATCTTTTTTAACTACAAAAGCTCACTTTGCTGCACTTAAAAATTTTAGCTTCTAATCTAAATTCTATAATGAGAATAGACTAGAGTAGAATAGAATAGAATAGAATAGAATAGAATAGAATAGAATATAATAGAATAGAATAGAATAGAATAGAATAGAATGTCAATTAAAAGCTCACTTTAGGCAAGATCCTACAGCTTTTTCTTTATCAACTTACATGTGCAGCCCTCTTAAAATTAAGGTGACTCTGTTCCATTTCTCACAGAGACAGACTGAAGGATGAACCTTCATTAAATGCAGACTATTCCTTGCTTACATAAGGCAAACAGAATTTCTTTCCAAATATTTCAGCTCTTGAAGGTATATTTAAACATTTGTGCTGACAGCAACACCAGAAAAGAACATCTCTTGGTATCAATCCCAGATGGGTGAGATCCTGACTCAATTCAGCAGGGTATTTTATGACTTCTAATTATGTTCCAGGGCAGATATTAGTGTCCACTTCTTAGACAGGATATAGAGACAATTCGTGCATCACCAAAATATAGGCACATCAAGGGCACTGATGCACATTTTTACACAGCTCAAAGCTACAATTAATGAGCTCGTATGCTCAAACACAGAAATCTGGCGCCACATGCCTGAAATAATTTTGGGTCTGTGTTGTTTTGGTGTGTTTGGGTTTTCTTTGGTGGATTTTATTTTCTTTTTTTTTTTTTTTTTTTTTTTTCCTCAGAAACCTGTAAATATTTTCAAGCAACGTTTTCAAACTTCTGGTCTGTCAGGTACATTTGTGAAGAGCGTTCACACTGAGTAGATCTGTTTGTTTGGCATCTGCCACACAATGCACATACACACGTGTATATATATATACGTGTCAAGAAAACAGTAGCACTGTGTACATATTTATTTACTTCAATGAGTCTCTAGATTCTATAACGAGTGAGACTGTACTGAAATCAGTGTCATATTAAAGTTCATCTTCTTGCCAGGTTAAGCCAGTATGTGCACCCTTTATGCCAGATAAATAATTGTTCCTTTAATCCAAAAACCTGTTCCCCTGCAGCTGCTCCTACCCTAAGCAGAATTTACTGGAACACTTCTTATTACTATTTAGTAGAAAGTTGCTTACAGTCTGAAATATTTTAAAATATCATGCCTAAGCAACATGATCTAAACCAAAGCAATTCCAGGTAAGCCAGGTACAGTTAAAAGTAAAAGAAATCAGCAAGTCTAGGTAATTTGCTTTCCAGAAACATGGGGAACAAGAAGCAAATTACAAGAAGGTAAAATCTATTGCACATAATTATTTCACTCTATTAATTATTCATTGACACAGCAACAGAGAGCAGTGTGGTGCTTTCCAGATGAAGATATGTCTTTGTCACAAACTGTGTGCATTTTTGAAGGCATGAATTTCCTACCACAAACACCACCTTGGAGAGGAGATGGATGAAGTCCTGGCCTTTGCACCACGTGGTAAACAGAAAAAGGCATAGAGGGCTGCTGGAAAGAGAGGAGAAAGGAGAAGGGCAGCCACACAGGAAGATGAAGGATTAGGTTTCTTGTCAAACACATGCTTCAGAATATTCCTTCCTTCCTTCTGATCATGTGTTAGAGTAGATAAATGATTTTGCAGCACTCCTTAACATGAAGATCACAAGATATGTTTTAAGGTGAACTAAACAGCAGTGGCAACAACCAGCTTTTTTACCCGTCAACACAATAACACTGTAGGTGCTGCTGGAAAAGTCAATCCTCACTTAATTGTTGAGCCAAACTTGTCATAACAGAGTATTTGAGAGGTGGGATGCTAAGATACCAGCAGATGAAGCAGAAATAATGCCTCAAAAAACAGAGCAGAAATAATGTTTTTTGTAAATCTGGTGATTCAGCCTGGAGATCCCTATTCTTCTCAGCAGTTTTTACTGGCTTTGGAAGTCTTTACAGACTAACTTCTGGTTCCAGGACACATAAAACCCCCTCAGCTCATCAAGTGAAGAGCCCCTCATGCAGGAACAGCAAAGTAATGTGCCCACAAGTGTTCCTGAAGAAGGGAAAGCTGTGGTCCCTGACTCGTTATCCATGACATTCATCCGACAGCAAAGACAGAAAAAGGAAAAGGGGAGCAGGCAGGCAGTGAGATAACTGGTGGGATCATCCAGCTGTTTGCCTCAGCGATTTTGTGCTCTGAGCACCAAGTGAAATGGGCCTGTGAGTGTTAAGCAGACTCTTTTTAGGACAACTGTTTATTCCCAAAGGGAAGTGATTACATGGTCTGATCTGACTTCATCTGTTGCCATAAGATACTACTTTGGAGATGACTGTAAATCGTGATGGTTGTGCTCTTACAGCCACAGAGGTCTGGAAACAGGCAGGACAAGATTTAGGGCAAAGGGAGAATTATTCAGTGTCTATTGCAACTGATAGATTAGGGAAAAAAATAAAGAAGGGAAGATTTCAGGCACTCAATCCCTTCTTTCAGGCTTCTCCCTCATCCAACTCCACTCAATTATTTCTTTATTCATGACAGAGTTTTAGCCTCTGATCTGTCATCTTCGTGTGGATTTTAATAAATACAATTGATCACAAGATAAAAATGGGTGGGAAATAGAGATGCTTTGTGCAGCTGACCTCATCTAGGTGAGAGAGCAAGGGCCCAAAACTGCTGTGTACTGAATCCTCAGATCACCTCAAGAGATTAAATATAACCTGATGTATTTAAAGATGTTCCTGCTCCTTGCAAAGGGTTAGACTAGATGACCTTTAAAGGTCTTTTCCAACACAAAATATTCTATGATTCTAATCTATGATTACTTTCAAGTGGCCTGAGGAAGGGGAATGACAAAATACTAAGTTTTTATTAGTTTACTTTGGGGACCCAATCCTTTTCCTCCTGACTGACTGGTTCATGCTCAACACAGTGTCCTCCTTCATGAGAACTGTGCTTTTGCTTTGTTTCCTAAGCCTAGAACAAACAAAATTTAGGCTATATGATACTGGAAAAGGTAGTCAGAGCAAACATTGAGAGAGTATTTTCCCTCTCTTACTGCTGTCTCTGCATCAAATAGCACACATCTGTACAAAATGCCAACACGAGCTGATGATGGGTTGTGGGGATGACAGCAGGGAGAACAGAGCCATGCTCTAACCCACCCATCTCGTCAACACAATGAAAATCCCAATAATGCACATAGTGAGGAGAGCTGGGTCTGTTTTGGTTGCAGGTTCCCTTTGTACAGATGAAGAGAACAATAGGGTGGCTGGAGTGTGGTGGTTTATTCTGATTTAGTTACTTGGGCACCTGCTGAAATGCAAGGCTCCCTTACACCATCAGAGTAAAATATTTGTGCATCCTTTCATTGATAAAACGAATATTCTGAAATATTTTTTATACTTTTCATTAGCAGCGTTTTTGTTTTATCAGGAATGAGAGAGACAAATATCCATCGATGTCACTAGATGGTTTTTACACTTTAAATACATTTTTTAAAAAATATGTGTGTCTAAAATTTTGTGCATCCTTACACTCTGCAAGGTAATTTTTTATTTGTTAATTGTAACAGCCACAATATGATGAGTGTTTTTTATTCATTCAATAAAACATAGTTCCTTTCTCCAAGACATTCACCTGCAAATGTCATGCACCTATGTAAGGAAACATCATAATACACTGGTGACAACAGTGCAGAAGTGCTGTTTATTTTGTTTTTCAGGATACAGACACTTGTGTACTTGTGTACATTATTAAGTATAAGCATGCCTGAATGTCAACAGATTGATCTTATATAAAATATTAATAGCATGCTATGCTTTTTATTAGTCTATTA